TCAGGAAAAATCTGTTATCTTGTGGTTTCTGTAAATATGAGCATATTATTCATAATTTGATAATGTTGAGGGGAAAATAAAATTAGTGAAATTTGTCAATATTAAACTGATCTCTTATTTTCCACCCTCGAAAGAAGAGTAGTGTGAATACATGACTTTAAGATTAAGAGCATTTAAAAATTTTTTAAAGTATGTTTTGACTTTGGAAGATGTAGCATACTTTTTCTTCTAAAAATACTTCCTGTAAAAAGCATGTTTTATTTGAGATTAAATTAATATAACAGTTAACTATTCTTTTATTTATAGCACAATAATTTGACAACTTAATATACAATTTCCAAAACATTATCAACATGTTTTTAAGGCTTTTGAGTGGCTACTATTGATGTTATTAAAGTTTGTACATAAAGTTCAAGTACTTCTTTACTGGAACTCATTCCAGACCCTCAGTCAGGGTTTACTTAAGCCAAATTTGTTCATAGTTTTTTATCTGCTCTGAGAGTAAAAGGAGGTTTTTTAAAAAAAAATTTTTTCAGAAATGCAAAAGTACACCCTAACTTTAGAAAATTCAATCTTCATTTATTCAACAAATAGCCACTGACTAGGCATTGTTGCCACCATGGAGTTTAGAACACGAACCCCAAGAGGCATGGTGCCTGCTTTTACTAAAATTCATTCAAAATGAAGACACATATTAAGCAAGTAAACAGATAAGTTTTATGAACCCAGGGGTAATAAGTAATATGAAAAGTAGGAAAAAAGGTTAGACAGCTACTGCAGCTACTTGTGGGTATTGTTTTGTGCAAAGTAATCAAGAAATGTCATCTTCACAAGCAGTATTCATGCTGACCATGCTGTACTGTTATCATAATGGAGTTCCTTAGAGAAAACAAAGAAGAAAACAGTGCAGAATTCACAGTGATGCTCCTCCCATGCCAAGTGGGCACCAGGAGTTCTCAAGGTTTCCATGGTGGTAGCCTAAAGGTCCCAGCTGTTGTTTATTTTGTTATCATTGCAATGCAGAGCAATGAGGAGTAGTTATAAGACTGAACATCATAAGAGGTCTTGAGTCGGACTCAAAAGTTCAACATAAAGCCAGACAAGAGTGTGGAGTCACATCACATAGCAAAATAGAAGACAGATCAGGCTAAACCAAGAGCATAACAAATTCAATGTTCACTGAAGAGAATAATACCTTTGATTGTGGGTAAATGCTTTTTCCAAAAATGGATGCTGCTCTTCTTTTAGAATTACTTGGAGATAGGACAATGGATCCTAAGAAAAATCCCTGAAAATTATCCAAAACTTATTATACCTAAAAACCATAAGCCACCAAGAAAAAATTAAATCAGGTGAAATATGGACTACTTGAGAGAGGAGCAGAGCTGCCTGCAGTGCAGAGGAGGTGAACCTTCCAGGCCATCATAGCAACACCCCTAGTGCCAAGAAGCAGAGCTGTACCCAATGCAGAGGAGGTGAACCTCCTGGGCCACTGCACCACTGCCCCCAGCACAGAGGAGGAGAGCTCTCCCAAGCACAGAGGAGATAAGCCAGACAGGCACTAGCAGGACACCCCCTCCCCTGCATGGAAATGAGAGGACACATAAACAAGTCTCAAAACCAGACTTCCAGATCACCTAAAGCAATCCCAAGGGGAAATGAGATGGAACAATCTGATATTCAACCACCTGGACTCCCTGAACTGGGAACAAAAGAGAATCTGGAAAAAAAGGAAATCAAAAATAATACCTCAGACATCAGCAGAGATTGTGCCCATAGTGCAAGACATGATTAATAAATCCAGAGCGGGCACAGATAAAAAAAATAGAGGAGCTGAGAAACATGATGGAATCCCAACATGGGAAACAAATGAAATCCATAAAACAGATGCAAACAGATTTCCAGGAGATTAAAAACTCCATTGAAAGTTTACTCAGCAGAATGAGCCAATGTGAGGACAAAATTCCATATATAGAAGATAAGATTAAAATTAGTGACCAGGAAAAGAAAAATTTCTTTAAAATAGTAAGGGATCATGAGAAATCAATCCAGCAGCTGCTAGATGATCCAATCAGAGACTGATTAGAGTCAAGGAAGAAACAGAAGAGAGTATAGATGACATAAAAAAAAAACTGTTCACAGAAGTGAAGGCAGAAAACTTCCCAAGCAGGGGAAAAGAACTTGACATACAGATAAGTTATGCATATTGGACTCCAACTAGCCTTGATAAAAAAAATCTACATATAGGCATATAATAATTAAGATTCCAGAAACCCAACAGAAGAACAAAATTCTACAAGCACTTAGAGAAAAGAAAAAAATCACATACAAAGGAAAGCCCATCAGAATCACAGCAGATTTCTCAATGCAAACCCTCAAGGCAAGAAGAGCTTGGAGTGATGTATCCCAAGCCCTAAAGGAGAACAGCCTCCAATCCACATTAATGTACCCTGTAAAAGTATCTTTCAAAATTGATGGTGAAATAAGATACTTTCATGACAAAGAGCACCTTAGGAACTTCATGAGTACCAAACCAGCACTCCAATAAATTTTAGACAATACCCTAGGAAAAGACAACAAGGATCACAGTCCCAGGAAGCCCAGCAAAATGAATCCATCAGACATGAAAAATAATTAATGGCAAGGAAGGAGAATCCAACAAAAAGAAAAAGTCATGACAAGGATAAGTCAATAGTTATCAGCTATAATGATCAATATTAATGGTCTCAATTCACCAATCAAAAGAAATAGACTGGCAGAATGGGCCTAGAAGCAAGATCCAACAATTCAAAAACAAATTCATAGAGTGTAAGTTAAAGGGTGGAAAACAGTACTCCATGTGACAGGAACCCACAAAAAAGCAGAAGTAGCTATCCTATTTGGAGATCAGGTGGATTTCAAACCAACACTGATTAAGAGAGACAAAGAAGGATGCTACATCCTTGTAAAGGGAACAATCCAAGAGGAAGAGATAACAATCATAAATATATATGCACCAAACACTAGTGCCCCCAACTATATAAACAAATACTAACAGACATGAAAAATCAAATAAGCACTAATACAATAGTAGTGGGGGACCTCAATACCCCACTGTCACAAATAGATAGATCAACTAGACAATAAATGAACAATGAAATAGTAGCACTCAATCAAACTCTTGAACAAATGAACTTAACAGATGTTTACCGAGTGTTCCACCCCACAAAATCAGAATATATATTCTTTTCAACAGCACATGAGTTGTTCTCCAAAATAGATGACCTACTCGCTCAGAGAACACGTTTAAGTAAGTGCAAAGGAATTGAAGTTATCCCCTGTATATTATCTGACAATAGTGTGATGAAATTGGAGATCAACAGCAAAAGAAACTTAAGAATTTCATAAACACATGGAAACTGAACAACACACTTCTGAATAACCAATGGGTCACAGAGGAAATTAAAGAAAAAAATCAGACAGTTTCTACAATTAAATGATAATGACAATACAACATATCAGAATCAATAGGACACAATGAAAGCAGTCTTACAAGGTAAATTCATAGCACTGAATACTCATATGAGGAAAACAGAATAAGCCCAATTAAACAAGCAGATGCTGAACCTCAAGCTTCTGGAAAAGAGCAGGACAAACCCGAAGTTCATACAAGGGAGGAAATTATAAAGATCAGAGCAGATAACAAGACTAAGAGAATGATATAAAAAATCAATGAAGCAAAGTTTTACCAGCTGTTCCTCAGACAAAGCTCCACTATCTAGAATCTAAAAAGAACTTAAAAAATTCAGACCTCTCAAATTTAAAGACCCAATCCAAAAATGGGCATCTGAAATGAACAGACATTTCTCAGACAAAGAAGTAGAAATGTCAAATAAACACATGAAAAAATGTTCAACATCACTGGTCATTCGAGAGATGCAAATGAAAACAAGGCTGAGATTCCAACTCACCCCAGAAAGAATGGCTGCTATCATGAAATCATCCAATAACAAATGTTGGCAGGGCTGTGGGGAAAGAGGAACCCTGCTCTACTGCTGGTGGGAGTGTAGGCTGATGCAACCACTGTGGAAATCAGTATGGAGATACCTCAAAGAACTAGGACTGGAAGTCCCATTTGACCCAGCTATTCCCCTGCTGGGTAGCTTCCCCAAAGAGCTAAAAGAATCATACCACAGTGATACATGTGCACCCATGTTCATAGCAGCACAGTTTGTAATAGCTAAAGCCTGGAAACACCCCAAATGCCCACCAACTGAAGACTGGATAAAGAAAATGTAGGGTTTTTTTTTTTAATAAAATGGAGTACTACTCAGCCATAAAAAATTAGAAACTAGAGACATTTATAGCTAAATGGATGCACACTGAGACGATACTCTTAAGTGAAATAAATAGGACACACATGTGTAAATACTGAATAGTTTCTCTACTGTGAGAAACTGAAAGTGTAAATAAGGACTAAAAGGTATAATGGATAATGTGAAATAGGAAGAAAAGGGGCAAAGGGTTAGGGGAAGTGGAAGGGGTAGGGGAAAGGAAAGAAGGGAATGGAATTAATATGAGAAAAAGAAAAAATGGAAACAAAGTCTTTGTAGATAGGGAAGGATGGAGGGATTGAAGGGAGGGCAGGGGAAGGAGAAAAAAATAAGAGCCATGATAGAGTATGTAAAGGTGCAAATTTCCCATGATGAATGTCATTATATTGTATACCTGAAATGTACCAATAAAATTAATAAAATAAATAAATAAGTGAAATAAATAGTTCATAACTTGTATTTGAAAATTTTTAAAAATGCACTCCTTGAAAAGACAGAAAACTTCACAATCCACTTTGTTAAGTTTCATCATCTGAATGATCAATCTCCTGAGAGTTGCATCTCACCTACATGAACATACTACTTAGGAGAGTGGGAAGGCTGGAGAGAAGTCTATTGGGAGAGAACAAGATTTTTTTTACATTAATAATGAAGACTACACTTTATCCTAATATCCGGAGTTTTTACCAAATATCCTTTTGTGCTCCATGATTCTGTCCAGGATATGGTTTCACTTTGGTCTTTAATGGCCCCTTAAGTTCTTCTTGGCTATTGTTGATACTCAGATTGTCCTTATTTTTGATGACCTTAATGGCTTTGAGGAGTTAGAGAACTTGTAGGGTCTCTCTGTTGGAATTTAGCTGATAATTTTGTTATGATCAAACTGGATTCATGAGACCTGGGGAGAAAAATAACAGCAGCAAAGTCACATTGTCATCTTTTCATAGTAAAGATAAATACTATCAGTCTGTCAGTCTGGTCTATGACTGTTGTCTTTAATTTTCCTGGGGTAATTGTTGACAGAGTTCTACTGCAAAGTTATTTAGTTTTTGATTTGTGGGTTGATTGGATGGTTGTTTTTATGGTGCTAGGTATCAAAACCAAGGCCTCATGCATGCTAAGCAAGCTCTCTATTCTCAAGCTACATTCTCAGCCCTGAAAGTTATTCTTTTACCTCTTCCATAGTTTGCTCTTGACAAGTAAGGCACAATGTGCAGCTCACTCTTGGAAAATAGTGAAACATCTTCTACATCCTTAAGAGCAGATTATTTTCATAAATTTTTGGAATTCTTCTATAGCGGTTATTTGTTCTTCCTCTTATTTAATCATTCATGGTAATATGAATTCGTGGATATTTATTTTGTCCTTTCAGCTATAATTTTGCTAATAGAATAAAACACACACACATATATTTCTCAAAATTTTCCAGCTTTTACACTTATAAACTCTTTCTAAAGGCTCCTGTGTTTTTTTCTGACGTAGCTTCATCAGTGTGAAAAATACTTCTTAACGTGTTTTTAGTTTTTGGCAGTACAAAATGCTCCAGGCTTTTCTGACCTATTTCTTGTCTGAATCCCAGAAACAGCAATGGTTCCTTTTATTTGAATATGATCATAGCAACCGAGATGTGAATAACTGAGTTCACTCCTTGCTATTCAGTTATTCTTGGTACAAGACTCCCTAACATGATGGAGCAAGGACATGCATTGTAAATTAACCTCAGTGTAGACACATATCTAACTATTCCATGAATAGTTAGTCATCTGCACCTACAGAAAGCTAAACATGTGCTTATACTGATGTCTCCAACTCTAATTTGTTACCAGGAGGGTCATTTCAGCTTTCTCTCTTTGTTTCTCTTTAACTTCCCACTCCAACCATGAGAAACCTGGCTCCCACCATTTGCCTCCCATCCAGGTAATATTTTACTTCCAGTATATATGTGCTATCTTTTTAGAACTTCTAATCTATAGCTTTTATTTTTTAATGCTTTTTATCATGCTAAGACTCCACTGCAGTGTTGAATGGCTGTAGTAAGAGAACATTCTTGTGTTTTTCCCAGCCTTGGTGGGGAAACGTGTCCAGTCTCTTATCATTATACATGAAGGTAATGGTAAGCTTTTTGTAAATATTCTTTATCAAAGTGAAAATATTCTATTCCATTTTCAGTTTGCCTAAAGTATTTATCATGCATGACTGTTATATTTTGTCAAATGCTTTGTCTATGGTAATTGATGTGAGTACAGTAATGCCTCAGTTAACAAACACTTCTGTTCACAAACAATTCATTTCCCAAGCAAAAGGGTTCAACAAAATTTTACTTCTGTTCACAAACTCCACATTGGGTGACAAACAACCACAGCCATCTTCTCCACACAAATGCAAACATGGCCATCTTCTCCATAATCACAAAACAAATTAAGTTTGTGAATCAAGGTGCCACTGTATATGATTTTTTTTTCTCTAGTCTGCTGATATGCTTACTATAGTGATTGAATTTTGAATGTTGTACCAACTTGCATACAAGTAATAGATCCCACTTGGTCAGTCCCTTCAGTATTTCATCTGATTTTCATTATTTTGTTTGTTCTTCTTCTCTCGGGCTTTGATTCACTTCTATTTCTCAACTTTTCTATGATGGAACCTTAAGTATTTTACTTTAGTTCTTTTTTTCCAATATATGCTCTTATACTATAAATTTCACTTAAGGTACTGATTTTACTGAATCTTACAAATTTTGATATTATATTTTCATTTTCATTTGTTATAAATAGTTTTAATATCTCTTGAGATTTCTTTTTATCTGTTGATTGCTGATAAATATGTTGTTTAATTTCCAAATATTTGTAAATCTTCTAGCTATTTTCTGTTATTGAGTTGAGGTTTAATTTCCAGTTCAATCTAAATTGGAATGTGTGTAATGTTTGCTCTAACAATAAACACTAGAAATTTCAAAATCCTTTAGTGTCCTTGTTTTTGTCTTTTCTTGATTATGTTTCAATAAATACTAAGAATCTATGTCTTGAAGTTCTTTCCACTATAACTTTTTTAATATTAGACATCTGATGGTGTAATAAAGTATGGATGAGGGACAAAATTTAATAATCATGCTATAAATCTAGTCTTTGGATGGTTCTGTGCCTAGGATATGGATTTCCCAGTGGTCTTTCCAGTATTGCTCTGTCCTGCTGCTATTTTCTTTCTCAGATCTACTGTTACCAGTCTACCAATATAATACCAGTCTATTTTCTTGGACTACTGACTCCATTTAACTACTGTTTGCTCCTCTATTAAATAGAAAGGATGGAGGAAGTGAGTGTAGATGGATGGTCCCAAGTGGGATAAGACTCTGGTGAAATCTTTTCCTTTGTTATGGAGAAGGCAGTTCCCCTCTCCCTGCCACAGGTGAATTCTGTGAAAATGGCTAGTCACTTTCATCCCTCTCAAAACCCTGTCAGCTCCAGAAGTTTCTCATTCTTGTTCTAAAGCACATTCAACTTCTAGCAATTCATCAAAAGTATAATTTAAGTGTTTCTAAGAGTTTATGGCTTCAGCAACTTCTGCTTATTGTGAGTACACCTTGGCTGGGACTCTCAGGATGAAACTATCATTCCTCATTATTAGGTGGCATTTAGCTCTGTAATTTCAGTTCTCTTTTGAGTCCAAGAAAGCCCATTGAATTTTATTTTGAAGAGCCTCTTCTTGTTGTAAGGATGGGAATAATGAATTTTTATAAAAATATCACTGCTAGCAGTTTACAAGCTTATGTCCAAATAGGTAATTACTGTTCCTTAAGTTTTAATTTTTTTGTTTTGTTTTGTTTTGTTTTGTTTGTTTTTTGAGACAAGGTCTCATTATGTAGTTCAGGCTGGTCTTGAACTCACTACATAGCTCAGACTGACCTCGAACTCACAGTGGTCCTCCTACCTCAGCCTCTCCAGTGCTGGGATTACCGGCATGCGCCACTATGCCTGCCCTTGTTCCTTTAGGTTTTTAAGGGACAGTTTTGGTTTTAGATAAACATGAAGAAAGAAATACATTTTAACTATGCTGTTTAGGAGAACAGACTTAGAGATAGTTTTGTTGTTTATGTGTGTCCATTAATGTACAACTTATTTTAATAGGGTATGAAAATTATTTATACTATATCTACTACAATTTTCAAAACAGGAAAATATTTAGAAACATAATTTGGCTAGTATGAAGTTTATTGAAAGAAATATGCATTAGTCACTTTTCTCTTGCCTGGACAAAATACCTGACACCTGCAACTTAAAGGAGGATATAAATTTGACTCACTGTTTCAGAGGGTTCAGTCTATGCATGGTCAAGGTAGAAATGATATGTAGAAGGGCATAATGGAGAAAAGCTGCTCAATGTATAGCAGCCAAGGAGCAGAGAGAGAAAGAAGGAAGGAGCCAGGGACAAGAATACAGCCTTCCAGGTCACATTCCCAGTGACCACCCCCAACCAGGCCCCACCTCCTAGCAGCCCATTCAGATAAGAACTCATTGATCAATTGACTCACTGATGAATGAGTATAGCACCTCTCCCTGCCAGTCACCTTCCTAAAGCCCTGCCTCTGCACATATGAGAATTTTGGGGGTCATTTTAAATCTAAACCACAACAAAATATTTATTGAACATGCTTTCTAATAAGTCTCAATTTCCTATATTGTATTCAAGATACATTTGCATGTTTTCGGTGGTAGACAAAATTTTTATCTGCAACAAATCTTATATATTCCCCTTTAAAGTAATTTATAATATATCAATATCAAGTATAATAATTCAATATCAAAATTAGGAAGGAAAACTCACTTTTGATTAAAAAGAACAAAGACAAATTTACTGTACATTCAAAAAGCTAACTGATCTTCATCGGAAAAATGTGCAATGAGTTTAATACATGATATAGACAGTCACCTAGTCTATTTATTTTCATTCACCTGTCAGGAACATAGTGAACTGCCAAAATATTCTTTTGAGTGTTAAGTTTTGAAGTAACTGAAAACTAACTCAATACTAGTAAAATGCCCTGACAGACTACATTGTACAAATCTGTGTGGATGTTCTACCCAACTGCTGATATTCGATCCACTTATCTTTTTTCACACATCTAATTGTTGCATTCAATCTGAGTATATTCAATTGATATGATTTATAGAATTATCACAAGTTCTTTTTGAGTGATTAGGAATTTCAATTTTGCTGTTTTCTAACAGTCACAGAAAAAGATGCTCAGACTGGTGACACAGAAATCTGCAACTTATTGAAATAGAAAACATGGAGCACTTGTGAGTTCTCCTGGTAACCGCATCTTGATAAGACACTCTATAGGACTAAAACAATTTTGCTTCTCTGTGTTAGATTTACTTGAGGGCAGCATTATTGACATTCCATATGTTTCTGTGTTCTAACAATTTTATTAATCACTTAGTGTGTTCATCCTTGAGGTAAAAGCCACCATCTCACTCAAGCCCATTACACAAATTAGATGGCTTTGTTCCTTTCATGTTTTGCTGGTAGGCATTAACATGAACACTATGAACCCACAGAAGCTGGAAGTAATGGACTGAAATTGCTCACACCATTACTTTAAATTGAAATGCAGGGAGTTCATCTGCATAGAAATCATTAGGCTCTTTTACCTGAAAGATTATAACACTGAATATCAAATTTCAAACAACAACAACAAAAGAAATCCCAGCCCAGTTTAAAGCAACTCACCTGCAAACCTGTACTTGTATAATAATCTTTAGAAATCCTTTATATTTGTCTCTACCTGCTTCACTTCCTAATTGGAGCCTGTGTCTAAAAAGTCAACATTTTTGAATAGAAAATATATCTTCATGGAACAGATGTTGTAATCATTTTTACTATAATGTACTACTATAA